AAGCTAGGAAGCTAAAATTTTAGGAGGATGTTCCACATCGTACGCGATCCAAAGATTTGAAACTATCGTGACTGCAGGAGCACAGATCAAATTTTTTGCGGAATCTCTTATTACACGCGTGCTACATAGCCCTAAATGCCACAGGCCGGTTACAAGTTACGTCAGACTGTCCGCTCACATTTTTATCGAGCCGGCCAGAGGGTGGTTTCTTATATTATAAACAGCACTTCCTAGACTGCGAGAAACCAGTACAAAAGTCTTTATGTTAAGTGTATGGGGTTTTCTTGCCAATAAACTTTGTGAAATTTTAGACGTATGTCACTAAATCTTCCAATCATTTCTGGCCTCTTGCCGGAAGGAAAGAATGCGTTGATACCTCGAACGTCCAATCTGGTGCCGGACTACGTATCATTTGTTGTGAGTTGTAATTGATAAATTCGTGTTCTTCTTCCTCATGCAATTCAAAACTCCGTCTTCTTCTCCTTCTTAATAAGCTCTAAATCAATCGACTTACTAATTTTTGTATTAATTATCAATTCTTGCAAAAAGGTTTATTGAAATAGTAGCGACAGAATGTTAAAAGAGACCACAAAGTATTCGCACACGTGGTGCAAGAATTGGCTAGAGCTGATGTATGGAATTATGCAGATGAAAAAGGACAAAAATAGAGAAGAATGACGAAGTTACCAGCTACATTAGTAGCGAAAGAAAACGCGACGAAGAAAAAGAATTTGCTGAATGAAATTTCAAAACAAAAATTTGTTATGCTTGTCAGAATGTAATGCGAAAAGAAAGGAAAAAGCGCAAGGTAATATTTTTACTGCGAGAGTCTGAGACTCATTTCAACTGGAGTGCAGAATCGGAAATTCAGCAGAAAAAAGAATACCAAGACACCCGGGCTAGCAGGGCGGATATCACATATTAGTGATGCTACCACTAGACTGAAGTGGATTTCACAAAAAAAAAATTGTTTGTATAATTTCATTGGATAGCGAAGTTTTGTAAAAACTTCGTTGAAGAAACAATTAACCTTTTTTTCAGGGCTATACGATAAGGATGTGGGCGACGTAGAAACGCATTGGACAGGATTGAACAAAGAACCGTTATCGATGACATCTGTCAGTCGTGTCCGATTCGATGCCACTTGTCGCATTTGTCTGCAAAAATATCGCATACAAGCACTGAATGTATGCGAAAGCAGTGCAGCTACATGAGCAGTTTTACATAACGTATGGATATCTTTCGTGCTGTTAGCTGAGGTACAAATAGTGCTATTCCAGTGCTAATTTTTGATAAGGTAACTGCACTAATGAGGATCTCAGTCTCTCACATCCTTTATCGTGTATGGAAGCAAACGGGGCGGACAATGAACGACGAACAAATAACAACGACAAAACTGCTAGCGAGCGGAGCTTATACGATATGCACGCGTGCCAATTAGCGCACAGCAGTGCAGCCTGACAGACATATGGCATGTTGCGGCATGAACGACGTGACATGATACACTGGATACATTGACAAGAGTCCTCCTACAATTCGTTCATTCCTTCAGTGGCATATTGGTGTATACTGCGGAGCAAGCCCACCGTTAGTTTCCTTTTAAGCAACTTCGGAAGAAAAAGTTATCGCAGTTTTGCCAGCACGTACTATTAAATGTTATTTGATGGACGGTATTCGTATGCTTCCGCCTCTTATAAAGAGTGAAAATCCAGCAGTAACTTTCATTAGAACTACATTTCATAAATTCATGAAACTGAAATGCAGTAAAAAGATTATCGTTTTAGAATCTAAATTTTTCAAAATTTTAGAAACTTTTGAATAAATTCAATGATCAGAGCCAAAATTAAAATCATTCTGTATTCATTTTGTACAAGAGGCGGAAGCATCCGTAGAAAATTCCAAGGGTAGCAAATGCCAACAGCAATCACCCACTAGCAAACTGCTGAT